ATTATTCCTATAAAAAAAAAGACATCTTCGGTCGTCATTTATATTTGACGGAAGATCTTTGTGTTAATATTAATCGCCAATAAAAAAAAAATTGTAGTTTATTGTGATGTGTTTGAATGTTGTACTCTTAATTGATTGCAACCAAATGTTAAGATTTTAAAACTACGAAATTCCGTAAAAACCACTTATTTAGATCTTGCAACGACACGAATTTTATGATCCCGGTTTTAGTGATTTATTAAAAAAAATTATTCAGGCACGCCATAGATATATTATTTGGAGGTAAAAATTATAATTGTAAATTGTAACCGTATTTTTTGGGATAAATCGTAACCGTGTTTAGTGGAGCTTTCTTAACAAAATGAGCAAATAGTCACATTGCTCACACTCGTTTACAGTTATTGTATCTTAAGGCTTTGAATGAAATTTCGAGACGTTGTGTTACAACTTGTACCATTTTTTATGTAACCAGTCATTGGTACTGATCGTATTTGGTGTGTGTAATGTGTATCTTTTCAATAACAAGAATACCTTAACCAAGCTATCTTAACGAAAAAATGAAATATTTGAACTAATTTCCTCTAAAGTATCAAGAAAGCCTATATATATATTTTCTCCAAATTTACCTGAAAATTTTTGTGTTCAAAAATGACTAAACAGCACTAATTTATTCTTATAAATTCATGGAAGCAGTTGGTAAACAAACATTAAAATCAAAGAATGTCTTATTGTCTACCATCCTTAACGGTGCCACTAGCAAATCGCAATCCCATACTTTATGCATAAGTCAATTTGTTAACTCTATTCGACTTTTCTTTCGGCCACGTTTTCCACAAACGTCCGTATTTCAAAGAATTAAATGGTGAACACGAACATATTCATATTCATATTTCAAAGTCTCACATAACTTTGTGAAAGAGTATATGAAAGATTTACAGTTTTGAGTTAAAAGTCTATATTTACCAATGTTTAAGAAAGGGCTAGACATTAAGCGCGGTCATCCAATGCCTAGTATCTAGAACACCTAATTGGAGCCTAAGAAATTTAATAAACGGTTTAAGTATTTTACAAGATGTATCTAGTAAAATATATAAAAAACATAATCTATAAATAATAAATTTTATCTTGAATTTAGATTCATCATTTTATACCAAAATATATAAAATATTTCGATATATATATATAAATGTATATTATTATATTTTTATAATACCATAATATTTTAGGCGGTGAAAGCGGTAATCTCCACAATCTAAGGTTCTAGCGCCGGCGTTTATACGGACGCTTAGAATGCTTTGTAGAACACTGATATTTACCATGATATCAGAGTCATCTGATTGTTAAATCATTTCGTGGATGATGTTCTCACAAAAAAAATCTACGTTTCATGTTTTCATACCGTTATTCGTGGACCAAAAGCATTAGCATTATTTATTTGGTT